CCTAGTTCTCTTGCTTTGCAACATAAATTTTAGAATCAGCTTGTTGATATCTACAATATCTATCTACTGGAATTTTGTTTTAAGTTTATTTATTTCTTCCATGAATGAGAGATATTAGAAAGAAAGAGACAGATGAACAGCTCCAACAGGGTTCCAACATTACAATCCACCCTCATCCTTCAGGCAGCCCTGAATCATGGACACATGTATGCCCAGCATACTCAGGGAGGTATCAGACTTAAACAAGAAAATTTCTTATGTGAGAGTGTCTCCCACAGTGCTGTATTTTACCATTGCACCACCATTTGGCCCCTCTGTTGGCACTGTTATTGTGTTAAATTTGTAGATTAATTCACTATCTTGAGTCTTTGACTCCATGAACATGGTATGTCTCTTCAATTAGTAAAAAGTTCTTTGACTTCTTTTTATCAATGTTTTATAGATTTTAACATATGGTGGCTGGGGACCAGCAGTTGGCATAATGGCTATGTCATTAAATTCCCATGAAGTCGACCACAGTTTGAGTCCTGGGCCTGGTGGCTTAAACTCACACTGGGCATGTGTGCATACATGCCCAAGATCTGAGAGGAGAATGGAGGAGAAGGAATTGCAGCATGGCCATCGCCCTTGGGAGGGTGATTTCTCACTTTCTGTCTCTCTGTCTTTCTGGCAAGCGCAAGTGCCCTATAGAAAAAAACCTCTCAAAAAAAAAATACAGTGGTTGTAACATTGTTATATTTATGCCTAAATATTTCATTTTGTAAATATTATTGCCTTTTTTTTTTTAAGTTTTGCTTTAAGGTGCATATGCTTGCTGGAGACATACACAAAGAGGGGGAGAGAGAGAGGGACAAAAAGTGAAACATTACCCTCCAAGGGTGATAGCCACACTACAATCCTTTCTCCTCCATTTTCCTCTTGGGATTTTGGGCATTGTTAGCAATACAATAAACTTTTTAAAGTTTATTTTAATATATTTTATGTGTCTTTGATGGATGAACTATTCAATTTTTATGAAGTTGAATATGTCAGTGTTTTCCTTTATAGACTATGCCTTTTATCAGGTTTAATCAATCCTTTCCTACCTTGAGTCATAAAGATATATTCTTGCATCACAGACTTTCCTTCTTTGGTCTTTCCTTTTTTTCCTTCCTGAAGTACATTAGTCAGTTGGTAGGAATTTCTTAGAAAATGTCCTTAATTTTCCCTGGACAATTATTTTTTCTCAGCACTTCCAAGATATATTCTTACTGTGTTCTCTATTTTTCCATGTTATGCCACTGTATTCTGGTTTCCATCGTTGCTTTGAGAGGTCGGCTGTCAGCTGAACTGTTGTTGCTTTGTAGGGATCTGTCTTTGGTATCTGACTGCTGTTAGTGTCTTCTCTGTCTTTGGTATGCTACCATGTATGCAATAGTGATACAAAATGCAGTTATCTTATTACTCCTGCTTCCTATTTGTTTTATGTTTGATATCTGAACATTTCATTCACTTGATCTTAGTAGCTTGCTTCTGCAGTTGGTGGCTTCTATTAACTTTCACTTGTTCCTCCTATTTTGCATAAATTTTAGTTGGGAGCTTAAATGTGTGGGGGCAGCTCAGTTCTGAAAGGTGCTATTAGACTGAACACCTCCCACTTGCTTCTGTCTAGTTCAGCTGGAAGATGCATAACTTTCAGGTTCTGCTTTTCATAACACTTCCCTGGCTTTCTGGGACTAGCGGGTCTTACAACTAACCAATGTGTAGACATAGATATGTCTCCCTATCCCTTATGATGCTCCCACTGCTGCTGTCTTGAGGACAAAATACACTTTCACATTTATGAAGAATTTGTGGGTAATTAAGAAGAGGTAGGGGCAAGGAGATGAGAAGCCAGAACAGAATAGAAAGTTGATCATGAGGCAGAGATTACTTGGCAAGGAGCGCAAGCTCAGCTCATAGAGGGCTGGGAAATGTCTCCAGGGGCCTGGCTGCCTCTTAGAACATCAGCTCTGAGAGCAAATTCCCCAAGGCCTGAATCATTCACCAAGCGAATTTTGGGAGTCGTAGGCTGGCCTGTGACTGCCTGGAGTGAGCCAAGGCTGGCTTGTCCTGAGGAGGGTGTTGAAGAACAGAAGCCACTGTCCAAGCATCTTCCCTGCCACACCACGGGAAGAGTGTAACAATGCTGTGCATGGCCTACACCCAAACAGTGCTGGCTGTTAGTGGAGAAATGGCACTTAGGACTTGGTGACTGCACCAGGATCTGTAAAATTTGGACTTGCATTAGACCTGTGGGAGCAGGGGATGGTCTGTGCCATTTACAGCTGTATTCCTGGTGTCCAGCACAGGACTTGGGACAAAGTAGGTGGGGAAGAGAGGGTGTCAAAGAACATGCTTCCGAGAGAATCTATAACATCACCCCCACCTCACATTCACCAGGACCTTTCCAATTTACCAAATGCATTCACTTGGGCTGCTTCATTTAGTTCATACAATTCCAACTGCCCCAGAAGGATGAGAGAACTGCCACTGGATACCTCCCACGGCATCATGTTAGCTTCACGTGTGCCAGGCCTGGGGGCCATCAAGGGCCTGCTGAGTCTGCCGGTGCTCACTAGGGGGCCACACGCATATTATTATTATTTTGAAGAGGTTTTTGCTATAGACTCATGCACTTGCCAGAAATGACAGAGAGAAACAGAGACAGAAAGCGAGAAATCACCCCCCAGGGGGAATGGCCACGTCATAATCCCTTCTGCTCCATTCTCCTCTTAGAATCTTAGGCTTGCACTCACACGCATCCAGCGTGAGTTTAAGCCACTGGGTCTGGGACTCGAACCGCGGTCAATTACGTGGGAGTCCAGCGACATAGCCATTACTTCAACTGCTGGTCCCCGCATGCACATTATTGACATTTCCATCCATGTTGAATCCTAGCCATAGTCTGTGAGGGGCTGCATTTGAGGGGACTGAGGCCCGAGGTCACACAGGCTGTGTGTGGTGGAGCCAACACTAGGGGGTCTCTCTCCAAAGCCAGATCTCACACCCCAAGAGCAGGGGCAGGTAGAGGCTCCTAGAAAGTGCTCAGGAAACGGGGTTGGTGTGCCGGAGCCTCAGCTGAGGTCTGCTGGCACACTGATGGTGCTATCAACCCTGAACTCCCCGAGAGCCCGTCAGCGCTTGTCTTAGGTTCCAGCTATGTCTGGGGGACCCCGTTCCCACCTTTCACTCTTCAATTTGCCAGAGGGTGCATGAGCTCACCAGAGAGAGAGACAAAAAGAGGGAGAATGCCCCTTCCCCCCAATGGGGCATGGTCACGCCACAATTCCTTCTCCATTTCTCCATCCCTTCGGGATCTGGGGCACACACATGCACCCAATGTGTTTTTCAAGCTGCCAGGTCTGGTACTTGAATCACAGTTGGTCATGCGGGACCTGGCTTTCCCAGCCACGAGGCTACGGGCAGGCCCAGCCCACCTGTACCTCCCAGGACAAGCTAAGAGCCTCCCCAGGACAAGCTAAGAGCCTCGGAGTGCCTGGGAATCTGTTCTAATGGCGTGGGAATCTTTTGAAATGGCTTCACTATTGCGTAATCAATGTTATGCACAGGAATGCTATTTACTTTTTATTCCACACTCAACCTTCTAAACAGTAGAAGGGACCAGGGCCAAGGACTAGCTCCAGGTGAGTTTAAACTTAGTAGCGTTTGTTATCGCGTTTCTATTTCCAGC